TTACTAGTTTAGTAAAGTAACATTACTAATTTCCTGTTGAAAGGCAAATTGACAAAAAGTGAATAATTATAATCTTACAAATTTTGACTTTATATAATAAGTTATTGTTCAAGTACAAATAAGTGGATTATTGCGGAACTTTTCGGTGGACCTCTGCGGGACGAGCGCAGCGAGCTCCGCAGCCATCTTCTCACCAATATACTGTTGAACTATTCAAATAAGACATTCACCTGAAACGTGTAGTTTTTAAATTAATGAGAATAACTCACATTTGAGTGAGTCAGGTTAGTATCACACTTGAACAACATATTGATAAATAGATGGCTGCGGAACTCGCTGCGCTCGTCCCGCAGAGGTTCACCCATAAGTTCCGCAACAATTCACTCGTTTGATTTTAAATAACTTATCACAATATATTACTAGTTTGGTAAAGTAACATTACTAGTTCCTGTTGAAAGGCAAATTGACCAAAAGTGGATAATTTTACAAATTTTGACTTTATATAAAATATTGTTCAAGTACAAATAAGTGGATTATTTCAGAACTTATGGGTGGACCTCTGCGGGACGAGCGCAGCGAGTTCCGCAGCCATCTACTCACCAATAGACTGTTGAACTGTCTAAGTAAGGCAACTCACATTTGAGTAAGTCACGTTAATATCGTAATTAAACAACATATTGATGAATAGATGGCTGCGAAAACCGCTGCGCTCGTCCCGCAGAGGTCCACCCATAAGTTCCACAACAATTCACTCCCTTGCACTTGAATAACTTGTCACATTATGTTACTAGTTTAGTAAAGTAACATTACTAATTCCTGTTGAAAGGCAAATTTACAAAAAGTGAATAATTATAATCTTACAAATTTTGACTTTATATAATAAGTTATTGTTCACGTACAAATAAGTGGATTATTGCGGAACTTTTAGGTGGACCTCTGCGGGACGAGCGCAGCGAGTTCCGCAGCCATCTACTCACCAATATACTATTGAACTTTTCAAGTAAGGCATTTATCTGAAACGTGTAATTTTTAAACTAATGAGAATAACTCATATTTAAGTGAGTCAGGTTAGCATCATAATTAAACAACATATTGATGAATAGATGGCTGCGTCAGGTAATATAGAAAAGGTAATAATAATTAAAAATACATACGTTTATAATAGCCGACCGAATATGAACATTTTCAGAAAAATCTGATACAGCACTTTCAAATTGCATAAGAATCCATTTTTGTTTGATCTGAATTCCAAAACTTTCAGGGGGCTGAGGGTCAAGTTAACCTCCTCTCCCAGTAGGATTTTGTCGGAAAATTACGGAATAGGGAAATTTTGAGAAAAACCTGCTACACCATAGGTCAGCACACTTCAGATTGCATAGGAATCCATTTTTGTTTAATTTGATTTCCAAAATTTTGAGGGGGCAAACTTGACGGAGCCACTAGACAGAACAGAACATGAATGAGGATTTTTTTGGGCTCTCAACGTTGAGTACTTAAATGAAAGGACATTTTTCCAAAAGTATCCATGAAGAAAACTTGAAGCAAATCGCAGGATTAAAATTAATGGGAAATTATAGCATGGAAAACCATTACTTCTCTAAACATTTGTCACAGATCAATTATGAATTATTGATCAATCAAAAAGAATAGAATGCTGAAAAATATTAAAGGCCAAATCTCCAACACCCATCAAGGTCTAAGTCATACATACAAGTATTTCTTCGTTAAAATGGAAGAACATAAAATTGATTGTGCAATTGATGCAATTTGCATTCACCCACAACAAGGCCGACTCAAACTATACAGAAAGCAATCAATTATCGATGCGAAAAATTTAAAATGTGTTAAATCGAATAATCACGCCACTTTCTAATACAATAATTAATTTGCACTGGATGATCTGGCAAATAATCATTATATCAATCGATCTGTTTTTGTACAGCTTTCTACTGTCTTAATCAATTTCCGGAAATGGTGAGATTTTTATCAAGTAGATGTAAAGATAAATACCAAGTTTGTTGTTCAAAATTATTACTAAATCCTGCGAAGGTCGTCAACTACCCAGAGAGACTTGCCCAACCTGAATCTGAAAAATTTTGCATGCAGAACAGGCTTGTTCTAATGTCTCGAGCCGACAAGATTTTTTTCTTTTGTATATCATATAATAATTTCCAACAATCCCCCAATTAATCATACTTGTTCTTTTATGGGTTCAGTATTCCACACTGTGTGTATGTGTAGAACCAAGGCGAAACCAATTTGAGAATTATTAAGTGCGTCTGAGGCTCAGTTGAACGATGCGGAATTTGACCTTTCAACAGCCTCACCAAGTACCTATTTGATCGATTACCTGATTTCAAATCTAATACGGGTACTTATGACACATTCACAAACCTTTATAGAGGATTGGCTTTTAATAATAATTATGCTACAGAAAAAAAAAATGTTGTCAAGGTTGTTTTCATCCAAGTAGGTGAGGCTTTGTCACTGTACAAAAATGCATTTGTATGCAAGAACTTGCAGGTGCAATGATGATTATAATCAAAAAACACGTGCCTCTATATTCATTGATGCAGCAATCAACTATTGCCAAATAAGTGAAGATGAGCACACAAATCTTGTCTTGCCAACAATAGGATTTCGACATTCGTTTCATCACGTAACAAGCCATTATTTATTATTATTGATTGATGTGGTTGAACTTTTACCATATAGACACTTCAGTATTATAATCAAAAATAATACTCACTATTATTCAAACTAGATTATAAACTCATAATCCGTTATGGAGCGCACTGTTTCAAATTCCGAACAACAGCTGTCCAGCAACAGCACAAACTCAAATTGCCAATTCACTGTTTATTTATTTTTGCGTCGAAAAAACCAAGAAGAAGTCGCCTTAACGGTACTCGACGCGTACGATGGTCAAGTTGGTACTATCGCAAGAGAAGCCAAGAAATCGTTCCGATGGTGTGCCACTTGTGCTTGGTATTCGATGATGGTATTCTTGGGCGCTTTCACGGTGACATTGAGGTGTCTCGCCACTCTCTCCTGTGCCTGCTTATACGGCCCCAAAAAATTCTATACCTACGGCCGTGCAAGGTGCAGAGAGAATTGGTCGAACAGGTGGGATTTTTTCGGAAATGATACGTATTAACAATTTTGGATGATCAAGTTCAATTTTTACATGTATAGCAATAATAACAATATGTATTCGGATTGTAGAGGGTTTAATTGGCTTCAAGTTGAGCTTAATTACGTTAAAATCGGGTTGAAATTGACGAAGTTATGAGGCAAAATGTGATTCGATGAGTGAGTTTTTGAACTGATGATTAATGAGTGAAATTTTGAATTATTGAGTTGTGTTCATTTCTGAACCTCTGCGGGACGAGCGCAGCGAGTTTCGCAGCAGTTAATGAGTCGTTCTGATCGAAACTTGAGTAGTGAGTTATTCAACTACTCATTAGTCAACTTCAGAGGTTCATGAGTAATTGACTTATTAATAAGTTGTTCAACAAAAAATTTGACTTCATACTTCAGAGTATCAGATCGATTTCAAACTTTCAGTATTTATTAACCAGGACGTCTGCATGAAACAAGGCCAATTTGAAGTCAATTTGAGGCTGAAATTATGACAGTATCATCAATACTAGTATGGGAACGCCAAAAAGAACTCAGAGCCAACTTATCAAGGTTCCTAAAGTTGTTGATAGGTTGTCTGGTAATACCAGACAACCTATCAACAACTTTGGTAATGGTAAATAGATGACATCATCAGAAGGACTCCACGGAAATGACATAAAATACATAAGCATCCACTTCAGTAGTCTTACCATCTGCTAAAGTTATGTTTAATTATCTTTGTTTATAGGGAACATGCTCGTCACTCAATCAGGAATCGGCGATGTTTGACTGAGCACCGGAATCAAAATATGTGAGATCATTATGATATTGAAAGCCCCACGTTGGGCGCCAATGTAACACTGGGTGGTGTCGGGTTCTATAATCTATTTCAAAAAATCAGCTGAAAATGCTGGATTTATAATTGCAACATTCTAAAAGAGTTGCTCATTGAACTATTGAAGTATCAAGTTAATCAAGTGATTATTCTCAGGTCTTGATTCGATTCAAGAGCCGGGAATAATTAAAAATTGAAAAAAATCAGTAAATCGAATCAGACATCAAAAAATCAAATATACATTGGATCGCAGAAGACACAGAATTTTCAGGAAATCGGAAGCCAAACGTAGACCTGTAAACAATAATGAAACACCACCTAGTAAAACACTTGTACAACCTCATACAAGGGACAAAAATACTGAAATGGTTGGAATAAACCACATATGCTAAGTACAATAAGTGCTGCATGGGTATTTAGGATTCAAATTCTGCAATCTTGTTATTTAGGTATTGTTCATTGTTGAATTTCTTTTCAGCTAATGTTCCAAAAGGTCTGTGGCGTGTCAAACAAAATCCAAAAAAACCCAATCAATCAATTCATAATTATTAGCTTTCTATCGGTACTTCGTGTCAGTAATTAACAAATACCGCATTTAATACGTAAACACCAAAAAAAAAAAACAAATTAAACCATTATTTAATTACAAATAGAAATTATGATGTAAAAAATTTTATTATAGAAGAAAATTATATTAAAACACGTACATACGTGGCCCATCATATTAAGAGAAAATGTTCATGTTTTATAATTAAACATGCATACAGAGCATTAATTAAAAGTTTAAAAAACCCATATGTCATTTTTGGTTCATTAGCACGAAATCATTAAATAATCAAAGGGAATGGCATTTTATGCAATCCAAATGAAGCAATCATATTTCTTGTTGTATCTGCTCAACACTTTCACTTCCAATAATTGACTTTTTTATTATGATTAGTTTACGCTTCATTATCCTTGGGGGTTTTGTTGTTTTTACAGCCAATAATGCACGGTACCTAATAATATAATCATTATGCCTACAAGAAAAGTAACAAACATTTTACTCCACAATTTATTACAGGTTTGCAAATTAATGCAAAATACGATTTACATAAATAAAACAAATAGACCGTGTGTAATGTGTGTTTCTTCGGTTATATATCCCGCGGCGTATAAGCCAATTACCATGTCAACTACCTATAATATAGGAATAAAATTATTTATTTCTGGAAAGCAAGTAAACATTCATGGGGTCCGATTTGCCTTTCATCTGTACCGGGCCTCGGTAATCGAACCTAAATTGTTCATCGAAATTGTCTTCTTCAAGTAGCACCCTAAAAAACAAACAACCCTGTATATGTATAAGAAGATGCCCTAGAAATGAATACCTGAAATTGGATTTAGGGATTAAAATGTATGTCAGTATGACAGTATTATCATGGAACAGTTTCTTGAATGTTATTTGGATGCTAGTTTTGAAAATACGCCCCGAAATGGGTTGCATGACCGAAGAAATCGGAGACAGATGGTTGAGTATATTAATACGCTGATACAGGGATGTGCTGGAGGTAAAAAAAATGTATCTACAGTTAAGAAAGATTCATCATCTGCATCTGCTATCATTCTTTGTTATTGCAAGAAATATCAATTATTTGCGTCCTAGTTAAGAATTTAATCATTTTGTAGCAAAGTGGAGTCAATGGAAAAGATTCAAGCAAATTATCCATAATTATAATATATCATTGGAAATAAGAGTATTGAATTCTCTATAAGCCCGTGCACAATTGGTTTCTGTAACTTTTGGAGTTTCCGAAATATTGAGCCTCAAAGTTTTAGCAATTTCAATTAAGTAAATATACATGGTTTGTTCTGCGCCCTCCGACGCCGACGCCTCCGTGACATCTGCGCAAATACGTCATCAGTAGAAAATCTCTGAACCAACCCAAATGATGGCCACGTGTACTATACCATATTTTAAAGCGTGCTCCGTTACCTGTCAACCGTCACCTGTCATTTTTTGACAGTTGTCATCTTGTACAGGGTAACAAGTCATCTTGTTCGGGGTCACAAATCACGAGATATTTGTCATCTTGTATGGGGTAACAAGTCGCGGAGTACCAACACCTGTCACGTTATCCGTCACCTGTCAGATGTCAAATACCAGCTGTCAAATCTAGCATAAGGAGCTCGTGAAGGATAACTTCATACATATTTTTAGCAAAAAAAAAATTGATTAGATTTGAGATAAGGAAGTTATAGTTTTTCGCGGTTTGTGACCAAACGGCAGGTAATTGGATGATCAAATTTGCTATGAGGGTTACAGGTATTTTATTCTAACGATCTAACAAAAAAAAAAAATCAAAAATTACTGGACTGAGCTCGTAATGGTGGAAAAATTGAAAAATTTTGGACAATGGGGGGTTCTACATCCTCCGTCCTCCAAAGGAAATTTCTCGGAGTAAATTTATTAGCTAGAAATCTCCGAACTAACCCAAATAATAGCCGCCTGTGCTACCTCATAAGTAATGGCTGTGATTGCTAAAATTTTTAATTAGGAAGTAGAAAATACTTATTGTGTTGTTTCTCAAACATTATATGACGTCATCATTCACAAACCTCTTATGCTAGATTTCAAATTTAACACTTAACAACTGTCAAAAATGACAGGTGACAGATAACGTGACAAGTGTTGGTACCCCGTGACTTGTTATCCCGTACAAGATGACAGGTATCTTGTGACGTTTCACCTCGTACAAGTTGACAGATACCTCGTGACTTGTTACCCTGTTCAAAATATCAAAAATGACAAGTGACGGTTGACAGGTAACGTACGTCAAATTGTAAACAATAGTAAAAACTCAAAGCGATTGAGTCATTATTAATGGAGTTATGATTTTTTTTAAATAATGATGTTTTGTAAAGTGAGACCTTACAAACAATTTTTTCATTCAAAAAGTAGAGTGAGTGGAAAGTTGAAATTTTGAGGACTTTTTCCTAAAGGTTCATGTAAAATATACGAAAAACTCAAAGCGATTAAGTGATTATTAATGGAGTTATGATTTTTTTAAAATAATGATGTTTTGTAAAGTAAAACTTTACAAACAATTTTTTCACTCAAAAACTAAAGTGAACGGAAAGTTGAAATTTTGAGGACTTTTTCCTAAAGGTTCAATGTAAAAAGTACTAAAAACTTGGAGCGATTGAGTTATTATTAATGGAGATATGATTTTTTTTAAATAATTATGTTTTGTAAAGTAAAACTTTACAAACAATGTTTTCACTCAAAAACTAAAGTGAGCGGAAAGTTGAAATTTTGAGAAATTTCTCCTAAAGGTTTAATGTAAAAAGTACTAAAAACTTGAAGCGTATGAGTTATTATTAATGGAGATATGATTTTTTTTAAATAATGATGTTTTGTAAAATAAAACTTTACAAACAATTTTTTCACTCAAAAACTAAAGTGAGCGGAAAGTTGAAATTTTGAGGACTTTTTCCTGAAGGTTCAATGTAAAAAATACTAAAAACTCAAACCGATTGAGTTATTATTAATGGAGTTCTGATTTTTTTTAAATAATTATATTTTGTAAAGTAAAACTTTACAAACAATTTTTTCACTCAAAAACTACAGTGAGCGGAAAGTTGGAATTTTGAGGACTTTTTCCTAAAGGTTCAATGTAAAAAAATACTGAAAATTTAAAGCGATTGAGTTATTATTAATGGAGTTATGATTTTTTTTAAATTTAACGTACCTCAAAATACGAGCCACGCCCTACAATATGACATAGCACACGTGGCCATCATTTTGATTAGTTTAGAGATTTTCTACTGATGACGTCGTGACGCCATGTATATTTACTCAACTAAATACCATCTGAAAGCCCTTACTAAGACCTACAATCCCTACAAAATGTTGTCCTAGTACCACTTTCGGTTACCAAAATATACAGGTTCTCAATATAATATACAAAATAAATTGGTCAACAAATTTTGTTATAGTTCACAACAACAACACCGAATTAACTTGCAAAGAAGCGATAACGACGCTAATCCGGTACCACGATAAAACGAAAACGGCCAACGGTGCCGTGTGCATGATGGGAAAGTACCACAACATTCTTTACGTAGCCGTGAAACTGTGCTACCTGTGGCAATTGCGAGATGCAGGTAGTACCTAATCGATCAATAAATTATTATCAATAAACATTTATTTTTCATAGATCTGGTTTGCAAATTGCTGCGAGAGATTTACGCGTGTGAATCTACGTTTGAACGGATTTTAATCGGAGCGATTTTTGGTACCAAGGCACCGCATTTCATCGCTGGTACTATTCAAAGCATTATGTATTGTCTGGCTAGGAGATCTGAAGTTATGGAAGGAATTGGCGTTTAGTTATGTGGGATTACGTGTCACTATTGGCTAGGGCTCCTGTGATTTTATCCTCCCAAGAGTTTATTGTGCTGAATCTTCCTGTTTACTGCACCCATTCCCTACAGTAGGCGAAATAGGTCTGTTGGATGTTGTGTGTGTCTGTATATCCAGTTCATCATTTCCAAATATTATATGTTGTTTTCTGCGAGTTAGTGTATTGCATTCTGGTATAATATGTTTGCAACTCGTGTTTCCGTTATACAAGTCCATTGTTTACAGGTGTTTCTTTACTGGGGCATGCCCAGTAAACTCTGAGTTGATTCCTGCTTAGTTGTAGCAGTCTTTTTGTTCTGTTGCTCATGTGTCACGTAAGTAAAGAAGCTATGACACTTCTAGCCCAAAATCGGTCATTTTCCCATGTAAATCTCCATAAGAAAATCTAAGGTCCGCCAGCTGTCACTAAGTCCCAATCCCTTTCCAGTGCTCGTGTCTTTCATCGGTCGTACTAACTGGTCAGCCGCCGGTGCGTTCAGGGGCCCTGAAGGCAAACGTTTAGGGACCACGAAGGCAAGCGAGCCCGGAGGATCGAGGTTATACGAGCCCGAAGGGCCGGAGTTATACGAGCCCGAAGGGCCGGAGTTATACGAGCCCGAATGGCCGGAGTTATTTCAATGAGCCCGAAGATCCAGAAGCCAGTCTATAGACTATAATTCTACTAATTGAAGGGTATTAGCTATTCAAGGATGATACTGATATATACAAGATATTTAACTTCGTCCGACATCGTAACTGGGTGAAGAGGTCCAAGTCCCTCCATTTTCCTTCTTTTGATAAAGGGGACAATTGTCGATTTGGTGACATTAATTTTCAATCCTACAGTCTCTGTCCACCTAGAGATCATTGTTAGAGCCTGCTGCATGCGATCTCTGATTGTATAGTAGAATTTTCCCTGGGATATTATGACCAAGGCATATTTTACTACTTGATGGTTGTTGTTCTTCAGTATATTCCACAGCAGGGGTGATAACACTCCGCCTTGCGGACATCCCTTTGCAACCTGAACCGTTACTGTTTTACCTAGCAGCACAGAGTGGATGACTCTACCTCGAACCATGCAATCCATCCATCTGCAAGCTCCCAACATAACTTCTTTCAGATCCCCTGGCAAAACAATACAATTTGCACTACTACATGAATAAATATTTTCAGGCTGGAAAAGCGATTTCGATAATGAAGAAGAAAACGTCCGTGGTCTAGTATATTTTCTGGACAAAGCTAATTTGGGCAAACTTGAGCTGCCCTTTTTAAAAGAAGATCAATTATTATCCTACAGGTAATCAAAAATTAACATTGTTAACTAATCAATAATCAATTTAATCAATATTAGATTTATTGATTTGCCTATTGAAAGTTGTGGAAAGGCAGCTACATTGAAAATATGCGTGCAATTGGGCCTGCCCGATAAACTTTTGATTTTGTTACGATTCGGCGCCTTACTAGGTACCAACTTTGAACAAATCCTTGACAGACTATTGGAGTACCAACACTGCTACCCATATAATCTAGTAGCCATTTTGCAGCTATTCTTACGGGTAGTTCCAGCAATACCTAGAGACATAATACTAATGGAAAAATATGCTGTTTTAATTGAGGATGGCCTCATACCTCCAACAAGGTTTGTTGATTTAATTAAAATAATTTATTTGATAATATAATTCAAGGTGGGGTCACACTGCTCCAGAATTAAAACACCTGTGCAGATGCGCCATAAGAGAGCAACTATGGAAAAACTTCAATTTGCCTAACGGAATCAGGAAGTTGCATTTGCCCGAAAAGATGTGGAGATATTTGGATCTTCTTGAAGATTAATAAAAATGTTTACCTATAAGCATCTTCCGATACGTTTATTTTACCAGCTTCTCCCGTAGTCTCAGTTCTACTGGTCAAATTGACCGTGTTACCGTACAGGCAAAATCTGGGCATTCTTTGACCAATTACTCCTGTGACCACTTCTCCTGTGTGAATCCCGATTGTGATTTTCTACAAAAATTTAGCAAAATGTGCAAAGTTGCTTGTGCGAGAGACTTACGACTGGTTCTCCATCAAACACCACAGTACTACCCAAATCCATCATATCGAGTGCCAATTTTGCAATGTTTTTAGCGTGCGAAGTGCAAGGCTCCGGTAAGCCGCTTACCGCCATGTATTTATCACCGACTGTTTCTACCTACAAAACACCGATTAGCTTTCTAACAATTTGTCAAAAGGTCGTTCATTATTTATTACTTTAGAGGTGAAAATTAATACCAAATAAGCAACAGATGCGTTTTAAGAGAAGAAAGTTAATGGGTTAATGCTCACCTTATAAATGTTTGGATTCAATTTAGAATCAGTGAGACAATCAAATTTGGTATAAAGTTTGTTGAGCATCTTTACAATTTTCATTGCCCCATTAGAATCGGCATAAGAAGCACAATACGCTGAAAACCCGCATATTCCTGAAAAAAGCAACGTGACGCAGCCATATCTTTTGGCTGGTACCGGTCTCTTATGTCGCAGCTCGCTTGCGACACTTATCGGTAGTACCGAGTACAATAATCTGCAAAGATGTTGAATTAGTACCGAAGTTATGTCATACCCATATTTGCACTTAATTAAAATTATCATGTATATGATGAAAACGGTCAATGATGCAACGGAATTCGTTGACTTGACTTTATTGGATTGAATTACTATAAAAATATTTGCGGTAGAATGTTTCGTAATAGCTTTTGAAATTCAAATATTTAATATATATGCGGCTCTTGAATGAATATAATATGTCACCCATAAGAGCTGGTAAAAGTGAAAAGTTGTTTGGTTCACACATTGTGCTAACCCAAACACCTGTAGATACTGAAATAAATTCCTCACTGATCTGTTTTCTTTTTCTCGCTATCCAGCTCCCTATAAGTTTGCTGGAGCTTATCGGTTAAAATTTCCAAATTCCTGGTCAGCTTGTAATCAGCTTCGAATTGTTCGGACATCAAAACTAAATCCCTAGTTGCGTCGTGTAGAGGAATGTCGCTTATGTACAAGCCTCGTCTGTAAAAATTCCATCGTAAATTCATGGGTAACTGGATCCGATTCTTACCTGGAAAGATCGTCCAGGTTTGCGACGCTAGGATAGCACAAAAACGCAACTAAATCGCTCTCAGGAACAAACAGCATCTGACCTTTTATCCGTAAAAATCTGTATTCGGGCGGAGCATCGACTTGCATAACACCATATTTGGTTTTTAGCACGTAAATTGTGTTAATGTGAGAGAGGATGTTCTCGAAAGTTAACTCCAAATGAGGACGAATCTATAAGAATAGTGTTATTAAAACTTGATTGAAGTTTTGTTCCAGTTGCACTGACTGGATCTAAAACGTCGGTTACCAAACACTCAGGTTCGGTGACCTTGGGAATAATTCTGGCAATAGTACTACCAGTTTGAACGATTTCCAAGTTGCGATTGAACATTATGTGAAATGGAAACACTCGGCAGAACGTTGAAGCGCTTACTTTTGGTTCTGCAAACATAAATAATTATGGGAAAAGTTACATATATTCTAGATGTTTCTATTAGTTTTTAGTAGAACATAATTGGTACTTTGCATCAGCGCATATTTTGCCCCGTTATCCTGCTCGTAACACTTTAAATCAACAACACCTATTTATGTATTCATTAAGCATGACCGGAAAATTATACTTTTCCAAATAAAATCAGTTATAATAGTTAGATGCCTTTTAAAGTCATCTAGGTCGCCTACATAATAATTGACCTTCAATATTACCTAAGGAAAGAGTCTCAATTTCATCAATTTTCGGAAGCAAAGGCCTCTCGGGCCCGGATTTTTCCGTTATCAAAAATTGCACGTGATCGCACTCCTCTTTCGTTTTTAAAATTTCAATTTCCACTTCGGTTTCGTGCAATTTACTGGCCACAGTCTAAAAGAAAAAAGCAACTTTCCTTCATATTATAAGCTGACATAAATCCGGATTCGTAAATGTAGGTGAACTTTTGATTTCAGATACGCACCTTCACGATGCCGATAACGATGTGCTCCAAACCGGGTCGATCAGAGTAATAGTGCAGCACTAGAGCGCCATCCTCTGGCCGTTCGGTGCACCGGAATGATGGAGCTTTCATGCCCGGATACAGTGTTCCCAAATGGTCGTGTAAAGCGTCAAGATTCTATAAAATACTCGGAAGTGTAATGGATATTTTCTAGTAGGACGGCGCCCTCGTGCCATCTGTACGCCTATGTGCAAACTAAGCCTACATTTCTATGTTGAATGAAACTTGAATCTTTAGTATACGCATAGGCATACAATAGGAATCTTTCTACCTGTAAAAAATCACGTGGAGTAGCTCCGAGCACTTGTAGAATTTTATCGTATCCGGAATCTTGGCAGAATTCAAAAAAGGTTTTACCAAAAAGTTCCAGAATTTGGTTGGCCGGAATACCTACAAACAAAATTAAAGTTTTCCCTAACAAGCTTTTAACGGATCAAAGGCTCAACTTCGAACTTAAGGGAAGTTTCGTGGAGCTTACTTAAAACTTCGACAGCGGCGGATATTAAATTGTAAGTCAGCTCGTCCTCGTATATTTGACGGACGAGAAATTGACCCTCCATCTGAACGTCGGCTTTTTTCCTGCAATAATTGTTTCAATTAACTGAAAAAGTTTTTCTGTCAAGAGATTACGCGAATCGTATATCTGGAGAACTCATTTTTTTTTTTTCAAATTTGTTTAAAAGTGTTTTCGTGACGTTTCCTGACAAAAGTTATCTGGCAAAATGCCGAAGATACCCGAACGATCAGTTTTAGCTTCTTGCTTTCTAGTAGAAAAGTTGAGGGAATAGTCAGAAACAGAAAAATACCAGTGACATACACTCGATCAACCTAGGAATCGAGAACCATACGAAAATATACAAGACTGTAGTATGGTATGATTATTCAAAAACTGTAGGTACAGGGTGTTTTTTTTATATATTGACACCCCACCTACAGCCTTTACCTTTACAGGTGGAAAAAAGGAATAAGTAATGTTACTTTACCAAACTAGTAACATAATGTGACAAGTTAATCGAGTGCAAACGAGTGAATTGTTGCGGAACTTATAGGTGAACCTCTGCGGGAAGAGCGTAGCGAGTTCCGCAGCCATTTATTCATCAATATATTGTTCAAGTACAATACTAACTTGATTCTCTCAATTGTGAGTTTTTCTCATTTGTTCAAAAACTACATTTAGATGAATGTCTTACTTGAACAGTTTAACAGTATATTAGTGAGTAGATGGCTGCGGAACTCGCTGCGCTCGTTTCGCAATATGTTGTTTAATTACGATACTAACCTGACTCACTCAAATATGAGTTATTCTCATTAATTTTAAAACTACATGTTTCAGGTGAATATCTTACTTGAACAGTTCAACAGAATATTGGTGAGTAGATGGCTGCGGAACTCGCTGCGCTCGTCCCGCAGAGGTCCACCCATAAATTTCGCAACAATTTACTTATTTGTACTTGAACAATAAGTTTCGCAATAATCCACTTATTTGTACAGGGTGTTTTTTTTATATATTACCACTCCACCTACAGCATTTACCTTAACAAGTAGATGAAAGGTGTAAATACAAAAGTTGTACAGTTTTGGCTGAACTTTTAGAACCCGCATGGTCAGAAACAAAAAATGGGGAATTTTGCATACTTCCAACTTTTTTCAAATGGGATGCCCTATATTTCATTCTATATATTCTTGAAAAGCACAATGCCCCGATTCCAAAAATATATAGTTTGTTTATATTTGATTGAACAGTTTCTCATATATTCGGCTCCAAAAATTGTAAAAATACTATCCTACTACTGAATTTGTTCTACCTGTACAGGTGAAAGCTTTAGGTAAAATTTGAGGTATATCCTATTCACAATCTGTAGTCCAAAGGTACATTTCTCTGATAGTATTTTTAAGATTTTTAGAACCAAATATGTTTGAGACGGCTCAACCAACCAAATATAGACAAACTATATAGTTTTGGAATCGGAAAATTGTACTCTTCAAGAACATAGAGCCAAATATAGGGCATCCCATTTGAAAAAAGCTGAAAGCATGCAATATTCGATTGTTGCGTAACTTATGGGTAGACCTCTGAACCATCTATTCATCAATATGTTGTGTAACTACGATACTAACCTGACTCACTCAAATGTGAGTTATTCTCATTAGTTTAATAGCGACACATTTCAGGTGAGTGTCTTATTTGAATAGTTCAACAGTATATTGGTAAGTAGATGGCTGCGGAACTCGCTGCGCTCGTCCCGCAGAGGTCCACCCATAAGTTACGCAACAATCCACTCGTTTGTAATTTAATAACTTGTCACATTATGTTACTAGTTTGGTAAAGTAACATCATTGATTCCTGTTGAAAGGAAAATTGACAAAAAGTGAATAATCATAATCTTACAAATGTTGACTTTATATAATAAGTTATTGTTCAAGTACAAATAAGTGGATTGTTGCAAAACTTATGGGTGGACCTCTGCGGGACGAGCGCAGCGAGTTCCGCAGCCATCTACTCACCAATATACTGCTGAACTATTCAAATAAGACACTCACCTGAAACGTGTAGTTGTTAAACTAATGAGAATAACTCACATTTGAGTCAGTCAGGTTAGTATCGTAATTACACAACATATTGATGAATATGAGCCATCTATTAATCAATATATTGTGTAATTGAGATGATAACCTGACTCACTCAAATGTGAGTTATTCTCATTAGTTTTACAACTACATGTTTCAGGTGAGTGTCTTATTTGAATAGTTCAACAGTATATCGGTGAGTAGATGGCTGCGGAACTCGCTGCGCTCGTCCCGCAGAGGTCCGCCCATAAGTTCCGTAACAATCCACTTATTTGTACTTGAACAATAATTTATTATATAAAGTCAGCATTTGTAAGATTATCCACTTTTTGTCAATTCGCCTTTCAACAGGAATTAGTAATGTTACTTTACCAAACTAGTAACATAATGTGACAAGTTATTCAAGTACAAATGAGTGAATTGTTGCAGAACCTATGGGTGGACCTCTGCGGGACGAGCGCAGCGAGTTCCGCAGCCATCTATGTATCAATATATTGTTTAATTACGATACTAACCTGACTGCTCACTCAAATGTGAGTTATTCTCATTCATTTAAAAAGTTCATGTTTCAGGTGAATGTCTTACTTGAACAGTTCAACAGTATATTGATGAGTAGATGGCACAGAAGTCCACCTATAAGTTCCGCAATAATCTGATTTCTCAGATAGTATTTTTAAAATTTTTAGAACCAAATATAGACAAACTATATATTTTTGAAATCGGGAAATTGTGCTTTTCAAGAATATAGAACCAAATATAGCGCATGCGATTTGGAAAAAGCTGAAAGTATGCAATATTTCACATTTCTAACATTCAATTTTTGTTTCTGACCATGGATTCTAAAACTTTAGCCAATACTGTACAACTTTTATATTTACAGCTTTCATCTACCTGTAAATGTTAAGGCTGTAGGTGGGGTGTCAATATATAAAAAAGCACCCTGTACATAGGAAACTGTATGATTATTTAAAAACTCTTTTAAGGATTGAATTCATACTAACATGGAAAGGTTTAGGAAATAGTCAGACACCAGTGGCGTACACCCGAAAAATTGGTGAGATAATAGTCACTTATTGTACAGGTCGTAGATAAAATCCATTACCGACGCAACTGACCGTTCGGGTGTCTTCAACATTTTGTCAGATAACTTTTGTCAGGAAACTTCACACTGATGTTTTTTAGTAGGTACTTACTTTATTGTTTCCCAAGTTTCTTCGCCAAACGTTTGAATTACCAATAATTCCAAGGCATAGTTGACAAACCCATACTAAAATACATCAATTAATGTACTTTACAATAATAACAACTTCGCAACAAATTTTCTGTACAAGGTCCGTCGTTTTTCTTATGCTAATATCGTTCAAACACAATAACAAAGTAATAATTCAGTAGGTATTGGTGCGAAACAATTCATCTAAAGGTAATAATTTTACTTACCATTTTTTCGTCAGTAAATAAAACTGTCCTGGAAAAAAATAGGGGGCCCAGCTTACGTCGCTGAACTTGTACAGCGACTGAAATCCAGCGCTGAAACGCCATCAATCGATTGCGTTCGAGACGCAGGCGTTAAAGTTTGCTTTTCGAAAAATGTTTTTTAAATAATTTTCTTTGTTGATATTCGCATAACAATTAGCAAGATATTGATCACTTTGACACACGATTTTAACCAAAAATTGAACTGCACGAAATACCCTTAAGGAAAGAAACAAAGTGTATCTCATGTAAAATTGTTTATTGAAATTCAGCGTAGTAGAACGTTTTCGGCTTTCGCCATCATCAGTACTACCTGCAAGCGAGCAAAGAAGAAATTCATTATAGAGCAGTTGTTAATATGTATGTAATAAACTAGTTAATGTAGAATTTTAAATTTTTCCTTTTCACTCACATGTCAGGTTCTGACACAGAAGTTAAAATTATTGTCGTTACAATTTCAACTTCCTGACAAGTGTCGGTATACATATTTACAACTGCTTTTTCGCTCGCTTGCAGGTAGTACTGATGATGGCGAAAGTGGAAAGCTGAATTCCAATAAACAATTTTGGTTTCTTTCCTTATCTGGACACATGCACACATACTCCTACCCTTGGCATTTTCTTCAATAACTACTCCATATCTCAAGTTTCTCTTGAAACTGCTGAAACTATCATAAATTTTGGATAAGTGCACTCCATCAAAGATTCCAGCGCTTGGAAGTTTATAGAGTAATTTATTTTCTCGAGAACTTTTTTAATAACCTCAATAACAATTAGCTTTTTCTGTAACTTTCAGTATAATATTTTACAAATAATCCATATTCTACGCATTAAAACATCAAATATTCCCCTGACCAGCAGGTGCGGTTTTTATGTCCAATAACATCATCGCAATAAAAAAAGTATATACAACTTTCGAAGCAGTGAAAATTATGGAAAGCGCCTGCGGATAAAATTGTTTTTCTCTGATGGATATCGGTTTCATATAATAAAGCAAACCTCTTAACAAAAGGCGTAGGAGACGATTAAATTCGAAAGTAATTTCGGGAAAACTTTACCATCAGGCAGACATGATAAGAGCTTATCTGAAGACCGTAATAAGATACTTACTTGCTTTTATTTATTTGTTCTTGATTCTATTTGCAAAAATTAAATTGGGTCAATCTCAAAGATTTATTAAGAGCCGGTTTATTCACTGTCAATCTGACGAATATGTAATTCTATTGGTCGTCCAGTTATCCGCCGACCAATACAATCATGAAACGGTAAACTTATCTTGCTGATAGTTATCTGAAGACAAATAAACCAGGCCTAAATATTGAAAAACATTAACTACCATTCAGATAATAAAATCTCAAATTTTATTATAAAAATATAAGTTTGGATCATGAAACTTTATAGTATTGGGTATTTCTAAGGGCGTGAAATTAGCTCCTGAATCTAATTAATCTTAACAGATCCGATGAAGAAATCCGAGCCTTAATAGGCATAAATCATCCTCCGGTTACCTTTTCGAAAACAATAAAACTCTGAAGCTACACCGCGCCAGCGTCGGGGCCCAAGAAGCGAAGCGACGCCTTCGGGCCGAGCTTCAGTCGTTTTACTGAAGCTGGAACGCGAAGCTGAGTCCGGCTCAGCTACGGAGTTGTCAGCTACGCGCGTTACGCGATTTTTGTTTGTTGTTCGTGAAACATTGGATGGAAGAACTTTGAGGTATTAAAATTTAATTTTATTAAAAATGTAATTGATTCTAGTTTCAGTCCAAAGACGAATAATTGGACATTGAAATGTCATTAAACTGTCCCAATGGCCGGCCGCAATCAAATTAAATGCATTTTCTCCGGGAAATATGCAACTGCTTGAACCGATTGTAAATGATTTCCTCGGACAGGCCTTTTACTCGAAACTCAATTTATTTATCGGCTTTGCCTTCAATGCCTTGATAATTTTGTTTTATACACTGTGTGTAAAAAGTCCCGGAACAGTCAATTATTTTGAAAATAGTGCACAATATAAAAAAAACTTCCTGTATAAAAGTTGAAGGACTTAATAAAATCTATTCAAATAAGACTTTTGTAATTATACAGGGTGGCCCAAAAAGTTGTGCTATACAAAACCTCATTTTTTTTTAATGGAATGATCCTTTTCTAATTACATTTTCTAATTCCTCTAGAGATTCTAAACAACAATTATGAAACATGTCATATGGCTAAACCCATTAGTTTCAGAAATAATTTGAATTGAAGGACATAAATACGATATTACCTACATTTTGCATTGTTTCGAGTTGGTTCAAAATATTTCACGTTAAATCCTGAAAAAAAAAAACATTTTCCTTGTGTTAAATGAAATGAACCTCACTCAAGTTTAGTCAAAATTTTAATAATAACTAAATTATTAAATACAAGCAGTAAAGTAAAATTAACAATAACTTTGAAGGAACAAAAATAAAATTAAGTGTAAGGCGTTATTTAATTAAATGCTCAAAATGTCCTGCTCCCACAGTTTGACAATGGGCTAGGTTATAATAAAATTTATTGATGACGTGTGGATGACGTTTTGAAACATTTCTTGGTTAATAGATGCACATTCTTCAATAATTCTTCTTCTCAATTCTTTCAGATCTGCAGGTTTTGTCACAAACACTTTATTTTTCAGATGTTCCCAAAGAAAATAATCAAGGGGCTTTAGGTCTGGTGACCATTTTGAACTAACTCGAAACAATGCAAAATGTAGGTAATATCGTATTTATTTCAACTCAAATTATTTCTGAAACTAATGGGTTTAGCCATATGACATGTTTCATAATTGTTGTTTAGAATCTCTAGAGGAATTAGAAAATGTAATTAGAAAAGGATCATTCCATTAAAAAAAAATGAAGTTTTGTATAGCACAACTTTTTGGGCCACCCTGTATAATTACAAAAGTCTTATTTCAATAGACTTTATTAAGACCTTCAACTTTTATACAGGAAGTTTTTTTATATTGTGCACCATTTTCAAAATAATTGACAGTTCCGGGACTTTTTACACACTGTGTATATAGGAAATAAATTTTTATACTGCCACTATAAATAATATTAAATTCTGTAAATACAATTTGTATGCAACGTGTCAAACAAACCTTGTAGAAAAATCCTATGGACAAATATTTACTAATACATGGTTTGGTTCTTTTTTAATTGCAAAAGCTTCGTATGGCTTTAATCTCCTTTGATGTCAATTATCTCCTCTTTTTACAATCATTCCGTATGTAGAGGGATTTCAATTTAAACCAGAAAATAATCAAGTTTCCAATGAAAGTCCCAAATGACTACGGAAGAGGGTTGGTTAGAGTGGTGTCACACATAGCGTTTTTACCGCTGCTCATTGTATTAGATGAGAGCTGTCACATACAGCGTTGTACCGCACCTAAACCGGATGCAGCCTTATCAAGCTGCGGCAAACCGGATGACAGCAATAGAACGAAAACACGTTGTATATTTTTGTAATCACACCTGACAGTTCAAATGTAGCAGTTCTGCATAAGTGCGGTGTCACACTATGCATTTTCAACGCTGCGACAAGAAGGGATGCGTATTCAACGCTGCGGCAAGTGGGGATACGTTTTGACCGGATGAACTCTACTTGTCACACTATCCCATCGAAGATGGGATGTTTTGCCAACCTATCCACCCTTCACCCCCTTGTCAAAGAGAGAGAAGAGAAATATTCCCACGGTATCGAAAAATTTTTCAGGCTCAGGTGCCCCTGTTACTACTCATCTACTCACCAATATACTGTTGAACTATTCAAATAAGACACTCACCTGAAACATGAAATTGTTAAACTAATGAGAATAACTCAGATTTGAGTGAGTCAGGTTATCATCTTAATTACGCAATATATTGATGAATAGATGGCTGCGGAACTCGCTGCGCTCGTCCCGCAGAGGTCCACCCATAAGTTACGCAATAATCCACTCGTTTGTACTTTAATAATTTGTCACATTATGTTACTAGTTTGGTAAAGTAACATCACTTATTCCCGTTGAAAGGAAAATTGACAAAAAGTGAATAATCATAATCTTACAAATTTTGACTTTATATAATAAGTTATTGTTCAAATACAAATAAGTGAATTGGTGCTGAACTTATGAGTGGACCTCTGCGGGACGAGCGCAGCGAGTTCCGCAGCCATCTACTTACCAATATACTGTTGAACTATTCAAATAAAACACTCACCTAAATCGTGTAGTTGTTAAACTAATGAGAACAACTCACATTTGAGTGATTCAGGTAAGTGTCGTAATTACACAACATATTGATAAAAAGATGGCTGCGGAACTCGCTGCGCTCGTCCCGCAGAGATTCACCCGTAAGTTACGCAACAATCCACTCGTTTGTACTTTAATAACTTGTCACATTATGTTACTAGTTTGGTGAAGTAACATCATTAATTCCTGTTGAAAGGAAAATTCACAAAAAGTGAATAATCATAATCTTACAAATTTTGACTTTATATAATAAGTTATTGTTCGAGTACAAATAAGTGGATTGTTGCGAAACTTATGGGTGGACATCTGCGGGACGAGCGCAGCGAGTTCCGCAGCCATCTACTCACCAATATACTGTTAAACTATTCAAATAAGATACTCACCTGAAACGTGTAGTTGTTAAACTAATGAGAATAACTCACATTTGAGTGAGTCAGGTTATCATCTCAATTACACAATATATTGATGAATAGATGGCTGCGGAACTCGCTGCGCTCGTCCCGCAGAGGTCCACCCATAAGTTACGCAATAAACCACTCGTTTGTACTTTAATAACTTGTCACATTATGTTACTAGTTTGGTAAAGTAACATCACTAATTCCTGTTGAACGAAAAATTGACAAAAAGCGAATAATCATGGTCACGGTACAGTAACTGCTACTAGTAGTAGTAAAGGGGCCACCTGAGCCTGAGAAATTTTTCGATACCGTGGGAAAATCTCTAAATCGGCGGCGCCTTTGATCTGAAACAGCTTTGTTTTGCGATCGTGTAAAAATTTTTGTCTTGAAACCTCTATCTTTGATATCAGAAAAAATTGATTTTGGTTATAAATGATATCGATCGGCGATGCAGTAGGTGCGCGGGACAAATGATTATGTATGAGATATGTGAGTGAGAGAGAGCGAGAGAGAGAGAGAGAGGTATGAGGTTTGAGGTATGAGGTATGAGAGCAGGAGAGCGAGGTGCAAGCTGCGTCATCATCAGTATTAGGTACCTTGTATCAGGGAACAAGTCGCCCGTATGTGCGGCTGCTGCGGTCAATGACCCTGCCTCAGCGTCGGCTTTTGAGGTAGCGCGACCGGTAATGCAGACCTGGGCGCTAGAAAGGGGGCTTATTCCGGGAAATTTTACCCCCACTCCTAGATGGTCGAAAAAGCCGCAATTTGGACCTTAGCGTTTTCTTATGGAGATTTACATAGGGGGCTTGGCCTAGAACTGTCCTAGCACCTTTACTAGTGTGGCGAATCAAAGTTCACGAAAAAGTTAACACAGCAAACCAGTATGTGCGGAGGAATTGCAGTTAATTTTGTTAACAACTTATCCAAGGAGACAGAACAATATAAGACAGTGAGCGAAACTTCCAATACTAGTGGACTTTTTGCTCCTCTCAAATTTTGATTGCTGTAGTGCCATAATGGCTCATTTCCGGATAAGGTTTCATAAGGCAAATTTACTTATTCTGATACCCTCTGCAACCCCTATCAGTTTGTCGAAATGATTATGAAACACCCTGTATACAAGGCAGAATGGACTCTACTACTACAACAAAATAGCATTCCAAATAATCTAATTATTACTCAATCAACATTGATTCCAGGAAAAGGTAAATTCCTGCAAAGCACGAAACCAAAAACTAACGCTTTCCTATGCTAATAACCCCGAGGGTTGGTTTATTTTTAGACTTTTGAAACCATTTTGTATTTTAGTGCTATACGCACATGCATAATTCAAACCTATAATCTTCGTACACAAAGTTCCACCGAAAATATCGGCCCAAAAAATGGTGGCGCGGTTCTAATTATCGACTAGTTCGTTATTAAAACCCTTCAGGGCACAATTTCGAGTCTTTCATTACCGATATTGCGTGCCCTATAGACCGCGGATATGATAGCTTCTAATTAAATTTATACAAAATAGAGAGATGCTTCATTATCGTCCTCCGCTTTAGGACTGGCAAATTACTTCTGCTTTTCTTTTGAAAAAAAAATTCCACGTTGAGCGACTAAAAGGACGTCGTGTAATTAAATTGTACATTTTTAAACTAAATGAACTTCGCAATAGCTAAAGTTCCATCACGTTTAGTTGATTAGAGCTTGATTCAATTCCTAAACAAATTTTCTTCTTGTTAGCTCCAATGACATCTTAACTCTTTGTTTATATGTCATTGATTAGCTCTAGTAGGTACAGGGTCACTTGAGCCTGGGAACTTTTCCGAAACACCAGCAAAATTCAGCTTTTTGTTTCATGCTGGTTTAGCTGGTTTCGAGCTGGTCTCCACTAGTTTCAAGCTGGTTTCAGCTGGTTTCAAACTGGTTTCGAAAAAGTTCCCAGGCTCAAGTGCCCCTATACCTATCTATTACTTTTTAGTAGTAGAAGGTTACTCAACGGAATTATATGTTTTTTGGGCTGCTGAATACAAATCTGAAGTTTGCTGCCTCGTTGCAGTACCGGCTTAGGTCGGAAAACGCAAAAAACCTTGAAATTTTTGAACTGGTTTCGAAAAAGTACCCAGGCTCAAGTGCCCCTATACTTATCTATTACTTTTCAGTAGTAGAAGGTTTCTCAAAGGAATTATATGTTTTTTGGGCTGCTGAATATGAATCTGAAGTTTTCTGCCTCGTAGCAGTACCGGCTCAAGTCGGAAAACGCCAAAAACCTCGACATTTTCAAATTGGTTTCGAAAAAGTTCCCAGGCTCAAGTGCCCCTATACCTATCTATTACTTTTCAGTAGTAGAAGGTTTCTCAACGGAATTAGATATTTTTTGGGCTGCTGAATACGAATCTGAAGTTTGCTGCCTCGTAGAAGTACCGGCTCAGGTCGGAAAACGCCAAAAACCTCGAAATTTTTGAACTGGTTTCGAAAAAGTACCCAGGCTCAAGTGCCCCTATACTTATCTGTTACTTTTCAGCAGTAGATGATTTCTCAACAGAATTATATGTTTTTTTGGAGTGCTGAATACAAATCTGAAGTTAGCTGGCTCGTAGCAATACCGGCTTAGGTCGGAAAACGCAAAAAACCTTGAAATTTTTGAACTAGTTTCAAAAAAGTTCCCAGGCTCAAGTGCCCCTATACCTATCTATTACTTTTCAGTAGTAGGAGGTTTCTCAACGGAATTATATGTTTTTTGGAGTGCTGAATACAAATCCGAAGTTTACCGCTTTCATGTTACCAAAAAATTACCATTCGATTGGACTACTTGTACACTAAATCTGATGAGCTCTGGATTTTAATTTCAGGTTTCAATGTAGAAAAAGACTAGTCCAACGTAGGTCATGGCTTGTCCGTTTCAACGTGTCAAAGGTGTTCAACTAAAAAGAGCCCTAACTACTCGTCAGGGCTCGCTCCAAATCGCTTTGGAGGAAGAAGAAGAGGACAAAAACACTTTGAATTTGGAACAGCTGAATTCGGCCATACGAATTTTAACCAACCCGCCGGTAAGTAGCCAACATTATTAGTTCAATAAGACAACGCAAGGTTTCCCTATACAATATAAGAAAATCAAAAAGGCCTTGGCACTGTGCCGCAATCGATACCGACATTGATTCTGTGAAATGCAACCGCTGCAACAATTGACTAGTAATTGGCCACATGTTAATGCATCCTTTACCTTCAACATGTTACAAAATATTTACTTTACGTCAAAACATATTTCAAAAGCAAGGCACTTCCTTCAAACTTAATACAATAAAATATGAAGGCGGAATGAAGTGGAAAGCGGAAGCTCAAAGATAACATTATGACAGCAAGTTTATCCTTGCGCGATTATGATTTTGTTAATGGGCCTCGCAATAAATGTAATCTATAATAGTAATCCGACGTTTAAGCCTTTCAAACTGGATCAAAGCATTTTAAAACTTGAAACGAACATGAGAAAAGTATATTCGAGAAATTGAAATTGTTGTAAAGAGGTTAATTTTCCCGGAAAATCTCAATCCTCAAAAGGATAAAGCTCTTCCTTCTTGATATGGAATTGGATAAAAGCCACAGCTCCATTATCTGAAAGACATCTTGATGAAAGTCGGAATTTTTCTCAAAACCCAATTTGCTGTATAAATAAAGCCGGGTGTGACAAAAAGAATTCCCCAAGCCAAATCGGTTTTGTGTGTTTTGAAAATGGGTTGTTTCCTTTGTAAATTAAATACTCATTGCCCCTAAATAATCACATCTGTTTTTAAAGTGCAACGAAATTAACGTGGAGCTAGTTTTGTGGCTATAGAGTTTGCGAAACTGTTTCAAAATTAACTCGAATTTATGCCCGGAACTGTCTAGCGGAAGTTGTTTTGAATTGTTTAAATGTGAATTTTTACCATTAAAAACACGTTTCGTTAAATGTATATTTATTTGAAAGGCCGAAACTCCTTCTCTGTACCTAAGTGGCTGTCGAGGGTCCGCTTTATTTATATACGACCGATATCGGACAGAATATGAAATACGGATCCTCGTCAAAAAATGTAAAGAACCATTTTCAAAGGATCGTTAATCTTTCGAGCAAGCAGCTTCGTTTAGCGCAGCTATTATTCTTGTGCTGTACCTTTTTTTAAAGTGATATTGGGTTTATCTGCTTTAGATTTTAAACTACGGCTCATCATCTGTCAAAAAATACATTCTCACAAGTCCTGGTTAAATCAGGGGGCTCAAGTTCTGAAAGCCATTATGCTCTCGTCACCTTTATTATCCGAAATTAATGTTGTGAAATTTATTTTAAGGAAAACCACCTATTAAAAATATTATTAATTTCTTCAAATCTTAACTTAAAAAAAAAAAAACGTTTACTGAATAAAAGTAAATGTTACAACCATGTATGCGCTCTCAAGTTTACCACAGAAAACGAAGAGGATACAAGAGAATACGCAACTAGACTACAGAACGAGCTGGACTGGTCCCTTAGAAAACGTGTCGCGTGTCTGTAATTATTCATTATTCAATTTTTATTTTTATTTTACATCAAAATTGATTGTTCAATCCAATTTGTTATTAGTGTGTCTGTAAGAAGCGTTCACAGGTTAGTTGCTTAATTATTATTTTGTTTGTGAGAGTTCAATTTATACAAATATCAATTTTTTAATTTTTATGTATTTAACAAAAATCGTTTCATGATGTAAACAACAAGGATAAAGAAGTAAATTAGAATCTAAGAAATTATGTGCTTTCTTTTTGTATTGAGATTTTGATTTTGTGGATTTAGAGCGTGCATTAGGGCCTTGTTGAATTTACTAACATTTTCCTACCCTAACGAGAGAATATCCTAACAAATTGAAATAATCAATCTAGAGATATTGGCTCAAAAACAACTAAGTATAGCTGAGTAGCTTCCCGTATGGGACCTCAGTACCTGCTGGGAAACTGGCTAACAAAATCTCTTCAATATTGAATATAGGTAGTGTTGATTGAATGTTGTGTGTAAATTTAAAATTTTAGCACAAAGAGAAAGGATGGTACCTAATTTAAACTTTTATTGACTTAAATTATTAAATTAAGGACTCGCACTTATTATTAAAATGACACAGTGTGTTCTGATTTTTGAGGAATGTTGGATCGAGGGTTTCTCTGCAGTGCTCTTTCCCCTCGTTAGTTCCAGGATGAGAACGGTACGATTTACTTTAATAATAAAGTAGACGTTTCAGAAATTTTTCGTTTCTTTTACATATCACAACCTCCCTTAAATTTCCCCAATATTTGCTATGTCGGGCGCATGTCCACTAAGTGAAATTGAGTAAGTTTCCACAACGTAGGTCCTATTTCTTGTTTGTTGTTTAAAAGGTAATAAAAATTCTCATCGTTCAATCTTACTGAGCGAACCCGGGTATGTTATACTACAATTTATTAATAGAAAATTTAACTCAACGTGAGATTAAACTAGACTGGTACGTTAAACAAGGATAAACGTGCATTGAATTATTATTTTTGGATTTTCCGCAAAGGGGGATAACAGCTAAAACCGCCTATAGGGTTTTTGAACTCAATAAATGACCGAGTTTTATTTTATCGGCAAATAATTGCCAAGCACCGCGGATACGTTTTCTCGCATAATTTAGGGGGGATCAAAACCAAAACAGATTGGAATTTTGCGCGAATAAAGCGAAATATTTTTAATTTTTCCTATAGAAGAATCCATTAGGGTTCTGTATCTTTAAGTTTGGGAGGGTGGTATGGTATGTCACAGCACTTAGGCCCAGTTTTCTAGTAGTAATTCTGTATGTTAAGTACATAACTTCAAAATCCATTAGGGTTACTTTGAAACATGAAAATCCAATGAGAATCATACACATTCAAATTATGAAATGGGTTCAAAAATAATCTCAAATAAACATACACAGAGCATTGAGTTTGCTTCCAAATTTATCAGATATCCGGAATGTCGATTCTCCTTGAAAAGAAAAAATTGTGACATCAATAGGGCCTTTGCCCAATATTTTTTTGTATAAGGGCGACAAGACGATATTTCATCTTTGTGATATTTTGAGCACGCAGCAAAAAAAAAGCTTACGATTTTTCTTTGTCAATATTAAATGGCCTATGGTCTATATGAACCTTTTACACTTATTATTATCATCTGAACCGAATATTGTTTCTTTTACAAATGACTAATCATTCCCTACTAAAGGGAGGCACAAATCTTTCTTCGATTAAAACAGATTGTCTGCTAGCAGCCGAGATTAATAATCCGAAGCGAGGTGATTTATGATTGAATTTTCAATAATTAATTGTAATAAGCCAGAACCATACAAATTACAATTAAACGAGGCCCAAATTTAGGATCTCTTTTACCCACATAAAACGTGTTCGTTTCCGCAGTGCTCCTAATAGATTCAAAATTCAATATCCAAATTGAATTTTTGATTGGAAATCTAAAGGCAAGGAGGTACAAGGTACTGAAAGGATAAAAGACGTGCGCCTTATTGTTACATATTGGTAAATCCTAATGGAAATAAACTAAAGCAATACATCTTATTTTGGGCTGACAGCTAGGAAACTAAGAGGCAAACAAAGCTAGATTTATCTTGCTCAAGTAAAAGAAATTAGTTTTACTTAACATATGTATTTCCCTAAGAAAAATACAAAGAATTTTTTTCCCAAGGAGGGTGAATATACGATTTTTGCATTATTTATCAGCCTCCCCCTTCTGTTAAAGTATTTACATTTTTAAACAAAAAATCTTTATAAGGCTCACGTCCCTGTTTATAAGTATAGTCCCATTTGAACTCTCTCGGCAAGATTATTTTTGGCCTTTTTTCTCATTCTTCCACGCCAGTGTATGTCCCATTTAAAACGAATAATGGTTGAATTTTATTTATGTTGATAAAAGAGGATTCGTGGAATATTCAAAGCCAAAATTGCAGCAACCGCACCCCCAATTATCGTTATCATTATGACTCTCTTTGCCTCTTCGTCGTGCCTCCAAATTATTATTCAAATTTATCATTCTATTCGGAATTATTATTATTGAGATTTTTTGTTTTTAAAAAAGATTCTGTAATGTCTGGCCAAGGGATCTAAAGCTATGGAAGAAATTTGGAGAAAAGTGTGCGGTAAAATATCGATAACAAGAAAACGAAAGATTGGTTGAATTTTTAGCACGATCGCCATTGCCATATGGATTACGTCTCGCTATTGGCCAGGGCTCTCGTCATTGAAATATCCTGATCATTGTTGATTTTCTGATGTGCTTGAATGATCCAAATCTTACAGCAATCGATGTGAATTTTTAAGATATTTTGGCTCAGAGCCTTTAGAACATTTAACTCAAGCAAAAAATTCAAATTAATTAGATTGTTATTCAATCGATAGTTTGAGATTTCTGAATCTATAAGTCTTTATGATGGACATTACATGAATTTAACAGGATGCCCTTTGGATCAAAGAACGCCCCAGCAACTTTCCAAAGAGTAATTCGTCGGATAATTTCTCTAGAGGGAATCAAGAGCTTGTAATTGTTCAAATTTTGATTATTGAGAGTTGCAATATATTTCCCTACGCAGCTGTGTATTTTACGACTGAAATCAGCAACTGCTTCAAATTCGTTGGCCAAACAATACACCTAAATCTTGCTCGAGAAACAAAAAACCCCTTTATTTCTCCTCGAATGAATGACACTAACGAGGTATTAGTTATGGAAACCAAAAAAGGCCCTGACGACAATGATAAAATGTATATCGTATGCGCACAAATATCCCATTTCATTCGGAGCTTAAATAATAATTATTTCGCGAGTTCAAAATGATTCCGACGTCGACAAAAAGGCACGAAACGAAAAGGTAATAACGATAACTGTGTAGTTACTTGCGGAAAAAAGAATTTAAGTGACTTTTTCTGTCTAGTGTAATTCTACCGCTAACTTAACCAATAATCACGCAACATTTACCTTAAACAATTAGATTACCTGGGCCCCAAACTTCGACCACATTCGACCGTCTATTTAAACAAAGTTATAAGG